TGCCTCCACAATAATGGCAATTAAAACCTGAGTCACCACCAATCTTCTTCTCCTTCTTGGATTCTTCTGACTTTGAACTCATCTTCAGTTCCTCCTTCACCTTTTCGGAACTATAACTTCTCTGCCAGCTTTGGTTCTTGTTGGCTGGGAACTTTCTTTTGATAAACTTTCTTGGATTGCAAACCATCAGGGCATACTCTTCACCATTCAGATCATAGTCAGCAAGATCCAATTCTTCTTCTTCTTCAACAACACCTTTTCCTTTTGAAATAAGAACTAATGACCCCAAACTAGAAACCACGTTCGTTTCCTTTAACACCGCACTTTCATGGGACTTCAGAATTCCCACCAGTTTTGCCAGAGAGTATCATTTGAACTGTTTGTGTGCCTTCACTGTGGAGACAACTTCAATCCATTTGGGTCTAAGACCGTTCATGAAGCTAACCTTCTACTCAATAACCTTCCTTTCGATCTCGTGCTTTTATCATCTTACTGAGAAGATTATAAACCAATTAAAGGCCTGAATGAGTTTCTCTTCGGGATTCTGTTTGAAATCACCAAATTCAAAAAGCAGCAAGGTTTGAATCGAATGTTCCAGATCTTCATCAGTAGAATACAATTCTTTTAACCTATCCCATATCTCGTTTGCTGTAGCACATGAACTCACCAATCGAAACGTGTCCGATTGTAAAGCAAACCTAATCATTCTTAAGGCTTTGATATTGCACTGGAACTTCTCTTTCTCGTCTTGAGAAATGGCTTTCATATCATTCCCAAGCTAATTATACTCCTTTTGAGTTTTGACAATCTTTGAAGTGCTTGAATGAGTAAACGGACCAACTGTGATTGCTTCCCAGATCAAGTACCCATTATCCTCTGAGCCGATTACATAATCTTCGAAGTGGTGCGTCCTGAGTGTATAAGATTGGAATTCTTGTTGTTGATCCAATACTGTTGGAGATGTTGATTGGATTGGATTGAGAATCGTCCATAGACATTGTGACGTTTGATCGATAACCTGTTTAAGATCAGACTTGTAATTTATCGTTAGGGCAAGATCGACAATTAATGAGATACGCCAATTTGGAATGACGGCTCAATTAATATCAATAAATGCGGAAAAACCCTAATAATTTCTTCAACAGAAGAGATGTGTATGAATTACACATCCTCCTGCTCTGATACCAATTGATGAGAATAAATCTCTACATCGTTTAGATCTTTCACATGTATATTGATAAAGAACAAACAATTCAATCACAATACAATTAAGAACATAATATGGAATCAATATGAAGCTTATGATTCAAATATAGTCACGCCTCAGCAGAGCTCGATAAAGAACTTTCATTGTAGAGGCGAGCTAGGGTTTACAATACTTTGATGATAAAATAATTAAAGCATTACTAACAAAGGATGCATGCATGCACCTTAAATACTAAAACCCTAGAATAAAATAATGCACGGTTGGACAGGCCCAAACCGGCTACAAAACTGGGCTAAGGACCGAGCCCATGATGCAATACTATACAACCCAACAATGGGCCTTACCCTCAAGACCATCCAAATATCCTAGTCCATACACTTGTTCTCAGATGGCCCATCAAGAACCCAAACACCTAAGCCTAAAAGAAAAGGCCCAACTCGTAGCCCAAATACAATTAGGGTTTTCACATAAAATGACGATTAGGGTTAAGTAAAAACACTTGACACATTAAGGACTTAATCCATCAAGTCCATCACTCTACTAGGTCAATCATACAATGTGGTCGGGCATAATTCATAACTCCAATCCAATGGTCCAAAATGCAGGTCCCGGTAAATCCCAAACTGAAGTCTCCAAGATTAGGGTTTTATAAACCCTAATTAGGGTTTCCAACCCAAACATATGCCCACTAGATCCAAGGTTGTGTTTTTAGATTAATTTGGGTTTCACTAGGTTGGACACCACCCACTGCCACCTCGGCCAGTGGTGGTCGACGCTGGTCCACGACTGTAGTCACCCGTGCACTTTGGTGGCTCGAGAGATAAATCCAACAACCAAACACCCACACAAGTTGTACATCATTTACACATACACCAAATCGCACACACAGCCACCCCCTCACAGTGGCTGGTGGCGATAACAGAAGGCAACTTAGCAGCAACCACCATGGTTAGCTGCCATAGTGGTTTGCCTCACCTCCGGCCAACATAACACCCCCACACACTTCACGGGTTCTAGCAGTAACACACACACACACGAACATGAGCTCTATCATAAACACGCAACCGTCTCATCCACTTCGGGTGGCAGGTGGCAACCGGAGCACAGCAAAAAGGTATCCACAAGAGGCGACATCGACAACGGTGGATACGAGCCAGGTACTGTAGAGTAGAAACAAGAGGAGAAGGGATAGTTACATCTTCATCCTCGACTTCATCGGCGAGAGGAGCGATGGAGGTTCAAGAAACAACAAGGAGGTGGCGGTCGAGCTTCGACGACAGTGATGGCGGCTGGAGAATAGTAGTCGCTCGAAGGCTTTGGCTGAATAAAAAAACGAGTAAGAAAGGGTGGTGACAGCTCTTTATAGAATAGGGTTAGGGTTAACATGTATCGAGTGGGAAGGAAGAAAGGAAGGGGATGTGTTTAATCCCCGTCTCCAAATCAAACTATAATTTGAAAAATATGCTTTTGGTCCCTCCCTTTGAATTATTTTTAACATAAATCCGTAAATTACCTTTCAGCCCGGCTTCGAAAATCTTTTCAATTTAAGCCCAAAAGCTACAAAATAAATCCAAATGATTTTTTCCTTAGCCATATGCTCAATTATTCTTTACACCACAAATCCCAAAAGCACCCTTTAGACCTCCAAGACAATTTATAACGTCAATTACACCCTTCCTCACTAAAACCCTTTATTTAAATTTCATTTATCGAAATAAAATAGTACTTAAAATACATTCTCGGATTTAGGGTTTATTTTCGAAACGGGATGTTACAATAATACTATATGTGAAAAACCGAACATTTTGTAATGACAAACTTCTAACATAACACTTATACCTAAATTTTTTTAATGGGATTATTTCGTGTTTATAGATTATCGATGGACTTTATGACCATTCAACATTAAATATTTATCACAAATCCATTGGTAACCGGTCAATTATTTAAAAACAATCTTCAGAGTTTTTGTTTTGTATTAAAAACTTAAAGTCTAATTAATACAATAGACAATAAATATAGTTTTTTTTATTAGTTTTAGCTACAAAATAAACATGAATATAAAAAAGTGCCCATATATATTTCAGAAAGATAAACCTAGAAACCATCGTTAAATTTCTTTCAAATTTCTAACTAGGCCAGTTTTCTACTTGGTGATAGGTTATATAATAAAATCCTTAAAATTAGAATACATTGGTGATACAATATTTTGGGAGTTCAATGTCCAAAATAAGCAAAACGCTGGTTGTAGCACCATATTGTAATTGTCATAATCAAGATAGAATGAAAAAATGGTTGTACCCTCTACACTCTAGCTTTGTAACTCTTTATTACGGTTAATCCTTTGTTGCTTTGATATTTACTCCAAAATGTTTACGTTGGAGGGCCACCCAAACAACGTATCTAGAATAGAATACCGTATGGTTCCCTAATTAAGTGAAGCCCGTAAAAAAAAAAGAATCAACAATATTTTTGGTGGATTGGGTCGTATAATTTGAAATATTAGAAATAGATAAAATTCTTATATTAGAGCTTTTATAATTGTCAACTTTTGACTTTTGAAGTTTTTTTTTTTTAATTTTGATCTTTAATATTTTTATTTGTGTTATATATTACTTTATGAAACTTATTTATTTGTGTTATATATTACTTGATGAAACTTATAACAATGAAAAAAAATTAAAATACAATTCATTCATATATTTAGTATCAAGTATTATATATCAAGAAGAAAAATATTAAAGATCAAAATTAAAGAATAAAGATTTTAAAAATCAAATATGGACAATTAATTTGGAATAGAGTTTTTACTTTCTAAGTTTTAATTTATGATCGTAAAGTTATCACTCAAAAACTGATCATCCATTTTGTTGCATATATCAATCTTTATCAACTTCATAGCGGAATATGTATGTTTCTTACTTTATATTTGCAACGGTAATATCAATACAACTTTTAACAACAAATCGATCTTAGGAAATATTATATGTTTCTTTTCTTCCCCCATACTTTTGGGAATAATCTTCAATGCTATTACACTAATGGAATCGTTCATCATTTCCTACAAATGTATTATAACTTTTAAGTTCCAAATTTAGAACTCGAAGATCATGTTGTGTTAGAAACTTTCCGAGATAAGTGTAATCATTTTCTACATTAAAGGCTTTAAAGACCCACTTAGACATAAACAAGCAACTAGAACAAGTAAAGGCAAGTTGAATTCACTAAAGAGATGGTTAATCTCTTGAAGTTATATATCATCCATCACCTTAAATACATCAACTCAATAAGTGCAACTTTCAAACTTGAAAGAAAATGCATCTTTTATATTCTTATGACACAATACAATAAATAAATGAACTTAGTAGTAACACACAAAGAACCACTTCAACTAATTAGTCAAATATAATATATGCCTTTCAAGTTACAAACATATGAACCTCTACAACTAATTAGTCAAATGTAATACACATCTTTCATGTCCATAGGTTTAGTATTGAATTTCTCACACAAAAGTAACATTTCTTATTCCCATCCTACATTCTTCATTTATTGAATTCGTTTTTAGAGCTACATATTTGACTCATAACCTTTACGATCTCATTGATCTTTTCTTTATAATGTTATATTAAAATGATTTGTGACTCCTAAAATATCAACCATTAAGTGCATATTAAGCAAAAATCAAATGTTTTAAATGGCTTTAAAAACCGAACAACTTCAGATTTACGATCAAACCTACTATTCTCATCACCAAGGTCTTAAGTACCTCACAAATTAAAGGATATATGGTCTTAAATATACAATCTATAGAGACACAATGAAATGAAAGGGAAGACAAGGCCATGATGGATCGATTTTATTTTACATGACTTGGATTGGGTTTTTCTTTTATATTTGAGTTATTTTTTAATACACAAAATTTGGACCTTAAAATATTTGGTATATATATATTTCATTTTCTACAATACTACAAGATATGTCCTAATTTTGTTCAAGGTAGTGACTAACTTTTTTTTTTGTACAAGAATTCTAAAAAAATTAAAAATTTGGTTGGTCCAAAGACCCATCTAGCCATAGCTTAAATTTTGCACATTCGCCCAACTCCAACATATCGTTGGCCATAATCTCCTACCACCACCAACATTAAAAACTGAAACGAAAATCAAAATCTCCAAAACGAATCCGAGTAAGAAAAGGAAAGAGGCAACCCCTTCCCCCTGTACCACTAGGGTTTCTGATCTTTTCTTCTTTGTAAACATCACATTCACTACTTGTTTCATCCTGCACACCCATTCCACAAACGTTAATGGTGCTGCTTTTAGCTGAGGCCACTATTAGTGGAACACCAGAAGCTTCATCTTGCTTCTCATCGCAATGGAAAATGATATCATTCTTATTTGGATTAATTTTTTCCATAACCTACACGAGAAAAAAAAAAAAATCAAAATCCGCCATAAGAAATGATCAATCGTAATTTGCAAGGATTTGAAGGCAACAGTGTTAAATCGTCAAATCGCGTCGCAAAGCCGTCTCCTCATTACCCGTAAATGAAACCCGTAGATTTATAGAAATAAAAGCAAAGCATATAACAAAAAAGCAAGAGTAAATTACATGAATAGTCCCTATGGTTTACAGTAATTTACATGTTTAGTTACTAACTTATTTTTTTAACTTGGAAGGTCTTTACTTTTTGTTTTTGTTACGCGTTTGGTTCCTGATTTAACTAAAAAGATTATTTTACCATTGATTTTTTGATTTATTTAAATAAATACACCCCCAATCTCACACTCTTCATCCTATCTTACCTACCTCACCATTTTTACCTATTTAAATAAAAGTCTTTTTAGTTAAGATAGAGACCAAACGTGTAACAAAAACAAACAGTAGGGACCAAATGCGTAAAAAAAACAAACAGTAGGGATCTTCCGAGTTAAAAAAATAAATTATGAACCAAACGTACAAATTACCCCAAACCATAAGGACCATTCGTGTAATTTACTGAAAAAGCAAATTGTATCGAATCATGGCTTACTTTTATTTAATTTTCATTTTACAATATAGATTATATAAATCAAACTCCTAGTCATAACAGAACATTTTTAATATTTTAGCATGAAGCATTTCATTTATCACTTTATATTTTATAAATGAGTGGTGGTAAATAAACCCTTATAAAAAAAAGATATATGTGTTTGTATGGTTCACTGTGTGAATGTGAGAAGATTGGATTACCATCACTTTTATAGCATATCAAACGTAAGTTATTGTTAGAGGCCAAATAGTCACAATCAACAATCGAATGGTGCTTTTTATCATACGCGTGAATTGCTTTTAAGGTCAATATACAGAATGTTTAAATTATACTAAATGTTTTTTAAATTTTATATTTTTCATATACTATCTCCTTTTAATTTAGCAATGTTTTTGCTTACTTTATTATTTTTAACTAATTATTCTATATAATTTGAAACTCCAGCATTAAATAACATTAAAGTTTTATGTACCTCCTTAAAGCCTTTTATTTTCTTTCTTGACTCTTTTTTTTATTATTATTATATTCATTTATTTTTAATATTTTTGATAAATGCATATATTATTATTAACAATTTTTTTTTTGGACTTTTTTATATTATTTTTTATTCAGTATCGTATTATTTTTTTGTTCGGAGTATCCGTGTATTATTTTTTTTGGATTATCCTAATATTATTATTTTCGTTCCAAGTATCTTTGCGTTGTTTTTTTGGTCGGATTATCCATTTGTTACTTTTTTCGTAAAAACTATTTTTTGTTATTTTTTTGTTCCGACTATCCATGTGTTGTTTTTCCGTTTAAACTACGCACATGTTATTTTTTTCGTCCCAACTAACATTGTGTTATTTTTTGTTCCGACTATCATTATGTTGCTTTTTTCGATCGAATTATCTTCAAGTTTTTTTTTCATCTGTACTATCTTTATGTTATCTTTTCGTTCCGATTATCTCTATGTTATTTTTCCATTTCCACTATTCATATGTTAATTTTTTTTCAATCAGACTATATTTGTGTCATTTTTCTTTCATTCCGTCTATCATTATGTTGTTTTTTTCGATCGGATTATCTTCATGTTATTTTTTCATTTAGACCATCTCTGTCCAATCGAAAAAAATACCACAGAGATAATCGGAATGAAAATATAACACATAAATAGGCAGGACGAGAAAATAACACAAAGATAGTACGAACAAAAAAATAACAAAAAGGATAATCCGACCGAAAAAAAAAGAATAATACAAGGATAGTCCGAACCATAATTTACCCAATAATAGTACCGATGAAAAAAATAACACATGGATAATCCAGATGAAAAAATAACATATATATAGTCCGAACGGAAAAAAATATATGAATAGTCCGACCGAAAAATAAAAATACAACTATATATAAAATATTGTTTTTCTAAAACACAAATAATTAAAAATAGTTGTTAGCTAATAACGGATAACTCGTATCAATAGATAAGCAATTAAGGGTATTAAAAGACAGTTAGAAAATTGTTTAATACTCTTAAAAAAAATAACAGGGTCAAAATCAAAACACAGTTGTTAGTTGATAGCGGCAATTAGGGGTTGATACTCCATCTTTTTTTTTTTTTTTTTTGGATTATCACAACGTTTTGGCCCCAATATTATTATTTTGTTTAATACTCCGAATAAAACATAACATGTCAAATCAAAAAAATAACACAGAAGAAGTGGCAATTAAGGGTATAAAAAAGCAATTGGAAAGTAAGACAAAAGCAGTAGTGGTTGATACTCTTGGACTCTTCTTCTATAAAAAACAAAACACAATTGGAAAATTATTATTTTGACCTATTTGACAAAAGAAGTTGTTACATATAGCGGATAACTGATATCGGTAGCATGTAGTTCATAGTTGATAGTTGTATCTTTTATTTTGATATCAGGTAGCATGTAGTTCATAGTTGATAGTTGTATTTTTTATTTGTTATAAGTGTGTTTGACAAATGTAGTGAAAACTTTTGAATATGTAAAATTTATATCAAAAGACAATTGTTTAAAAAACATACATATGTAAAAATATTCTTAAGGACAATTCTGAAAATTAATTTAAAAAACACAGTAGTATTTTGTTAAACACTACAAGAAGTGGTTTTTAGATTTAGAATGTTTTGTTTAAACGAAAAGTTAAATAATTATAGTGTGAAACAAAACTTTTTGTTTAAACTAAAACGTTTTGTAAAAAGCTAGAAGCTAGAAATTATAAACGCTTCCAAATATTCCATGTCAAACACGCTTTTAGGGGGTGTTTGGATAGAGAAAAATTAAGTTGTTTATTGCTTATTGCTTAATCTCACCGTAATAAGCAAATTTAAGTGTTTGGATAGGAGTCTTTAAAAATCAACTTATTGCGGTAGGAATAAGCAAAATAAGTTGATTTTAATAAGCAATGGGGGAAATATTTATTGCTTATTGTTTATTGTTTATTGGTCATTTTACTCATATAAATTGTTTTATTTTGTCAAACACTTAAATGCTTATTGCTTATTTCCACCGCAATAAGTAAATCTAAACACATTTTAAAAAACTGTTTATTCTCACCACAATAAGCAAATAAGAAATAATCTAATAAGCTAAAAATTATTTATGCAAACAACCCTTAATTTATATATGGTTAGTGCTAAATAAACCCTACAAAGACATGTGCATGTTAGGTCCACTATGTGAATGAGATAAGGTCCGGTTAAGATTTCCGTTAAGAGCATTATTAATAAGAGCTTTTCCAAAAGGATAAATAGTAATAACCAACATCAAAAATAGATTTTTACTATTGGAGTAATGAATTGCATTCAAAATGTTTAAATTTTACTAAATCTATTGTTTTTAAATTTGATGTTTGCTATAATAAATCCTTTTTATTTAATAATGTTTTCTTTACTGTTAAAAATGAAGGTGGCGGTTGGCTGTGAAGAATCACACTCTTTTTGTGAAAGTTATAAAAGCAGTTCATAATATCTGAGGAACTGGAAGTAGACGACATGTTGCATGGCATAGAATCATAAAATGCATGGTGGAATGTTATCAAAATGTCCATCTTTTTATGGTCTTCCAAATAGAGAGAAATATAGATTGTTTGATAAAAGACCAACGGGAAATGATGATTAGATGTGGGATTGCAAAGAGAAATTAATCAGCATGTGGAAACTTTACAATTTCAAGAATTGAGTCTTTTATTGGTCAACTTTAATATGAATTCTAAGTCCGATAGATGGAAATGGGAGTTGTCGATCGATGATGATCATTTTATAATAAACAATACTACCGTTTATATGGTCCAAATTTTGTAAACACATTCTTCTGTTTTGTTTAAAGAACAAGGTGGATCAGAGTATGTGCTAAGAAAAGTAAACATTTTTCTTGGCGTCTTTTAGTTTTGCAAAAGGATTTGTGAACCTAGAGACCAAAAGGATTTGTTGCCCTTTCAGTTTTGCAACCTCACTGTGATATAGATGTATGATCACTAATTCTACTCCTAAACTAAAACTTGAACCTTCATAACCAAAACATTCTACTCCTAAACTAAAACTTGAACCTTCAAACTTTTGGTTATGGTACTTTTCCAACAAACTTGATATGATTAGGCCCCAAGGCCTTTAAAAAGCATATCTTATGTGAAATAAAAAAATCAAGGGGAAGGTGTATGTGTCTTTTTTACTGTTTGTATCGAATAACGAAAACTAATTGAAATTTACTATTGCATCTATTTTTATATTAACAATTGATTTCAGCTGTAATACTTGTAATAAATAATTCAAAATAACTAACTACCTAGCGTACCTGAGGTTTCGACGATTCTGCGTGTTCAGAAGATTCCGCAAGTTCCTGAACCATGCATATAAACAATGTTACAGGGCAACGTTAATAACAGAAAAAGTTCAATCTAGTTGTTTACCATATAAAAAACAAGAGTAAATTACACGAATGGTCCCTAGGTTTGGGGTAATTTGCATGATTGGTCCCTAACTTACTTTTTTAACTCGGAAGATCCTTATTGTTTGTTTTTATTACGCGCTTGGTCCCTACTATTTGTTTTTCTTACGTGTTTGGTCCCTATCTTAGCTAAAAATACTATTATTTAAATATGAAAAAAATGTTATGGTAGGTGAGATAATGTGAAGGGGTATGGTTGGGGTGTGTTTATTTAAATAAATTAAAGAAATCAAGGGTAAAATAGTCTTTTTATGTAAGATAGGGACCAAGCGCGTAACAAAAACAAACAATAGGGACCTTTGGAGTTAAAAAAATAAATTAGAGACCAAACATGCAAATTACCCTAAACCATAGGGACCATTCGTATAATTTACTCATATAAAGATAAATAAACACAAAAGTACCGCATACCACTTAATTTTTAAAAGTAACTTACTTGCAATTCCAAAGCTTTTTCAAGTTTTTTTATGACCAAACCCATTGAGGGTCGTTGATTTCGATCATTTTGCAAGCATAGATAAGCAATCCCCGCAAACCTATTCAAGCTATTCGAGTCTATTTGATTCTTCAAACCATGATCAATAATATCATTTAAATTTCCTTTTTCACAGTAGCTTTGGGCTAATGGAGCTAGAAACCTCCGTTCATCACTTACGTTAATGAAGCCAGGTCTCCCGCATAAAACTTCAAACAATACAACACCAAATGAATAAATATCCGACTCTTTTGTGAGGATCCCTGTATCGATATATACCGGATCACAATAACCATAAGTACCACTACCATTAGTAATGAGATAACTCTCATTTTCATTTGCACGACCAATCTTTGAAAGTCCAAGATCAGAAATCATGGCTTTGAAGTTGTGATCTAACAGAATATTTCCACTCTTAATATCCCTATGGATAACTCTATGATTTTCTGCAACATGGTTATGAAGATAATCCAAACCACGGGCTGCATCGATGCATATCTTGATCCGTTGCTTCCATGGTAGTGGAAAGATGGGATTTGCCATACTTAGGTATCTGTCGAGGCTTCCATACACTGCATACTCGTAAATAAGGATCTTTTCATTGCCTTCTTCGCAATAACCAAGAAGGGAGACTAGGTTTGGATGTTTATAGCGGGATAGCAATTGAATCTCTGTTAAGAACTCTTTAAGACCTTGACCAGAATGAGCAATCTTTTTTAGTCTCTTTACAGCAACCGGGGTTAGTTTACCGCTAAGTAACAGTTCTCCTTTATAGACGTCGCCATATCCACCGCTTCCGATAATGGTTGTGAAGTTTCTGGTGGCTATTTCAATGTCTCGAAAGGGTATTTTGAGGTGTTGTGACTTTATGATGATTGACATTAATTAGTTTTGTGTAATAGGAAAAATATGGGGCTTAAGAGTTAAAGATAAAAGAAATGATGCACAAAACGATTGTGTCGGCAGGAATGATGCACAGTTGCGTATGGATGATGAAACCAGGTGCAGATATGTTTTACATTAAAGAAAAACAAATGATTTATAAAGACATAGTGAACGTGTTTCTATGTTGCATATACTCGTAGAATTTGGTCATAAAGAAAAAGCAAGCGTGTTTTTGCTTATTTTATTCATCTTGTCATTGTCTTGCATTTTAATGGAAATTCTTAAGAAATTTATTAGTGCCCACTATGGTCCACATGTCACGTGCACAAAATAGAGAGATCATAAACTAAAATTAATCGCAAAAACCATATAAATCGCAACCGATTAACCGCAACCGCAATAAAAATCGATGGTGAAGTTTTGGTTTTTCAAAAACCGCAAATTTGGGGTGCGGTGTGGTTATTAGTTTTCAAAAACCGCAAAAAAAACCGCACCGCACCGCATACATTATATACAATTTTTATTATTATTTATTAATATATTAAATATTAAAAATAAGACAAGTTTGATGGATGAAAGAAGTATAAAATTCTAGAAGACAAAAGTATTGGTTTTTTCGTATGTTGAATTTTGAAAAATTGTGAAATTTGAAAATTTGAAAATATTTATTGTTAATTACTAGTTATTTAAAGTTTTTAATATATTAGTTGTTTGTAATTTACGTTAATTGTTTTATATCTTATGTTTTTTTTTTTTTTTTTTTAATTTCAAGTAATATGTTTCAACTCTTAAAGCTGTTTAAACTCTAAAGTGCGATTAAAAACCACAGAAAATAACCACACCAAATCCATGCGATTAATAACCAAAACACAAAAACAAAACCGCACCGTTAAAATAACCGGCTCACCACACCGTAAAAATAACCGCACCAAACGGTTTTGAAAATAGATTAACCGCATTTGCGTTTAGTGGTGAGGTTTTGACCAATAACCGCATCGAACCGCACCGCGCTCACCCCTAACATATTTTATAACTTCTACAACTTTTTTTCGTTAATATTATTTCCGTGTTCATTGTAACATGTTGCTAGTAACTTGGAATAATGTTTGGAGGGAGTAGAGAAGGCAAAGGTGTTCGGCATCCTTTTTGTTGGCCTCGGACATACCGATGCAAACCATCTCGTCTTCTTAGCAAAGTAAGAAAATATGCATTGCTCAACCCCTACAAGCCAAGCCTCTTTCCTCTTGGCAAAGGTTTGGCACATGTCGACAAGGATTTGGACCTAAAGACATAATGAGACATGGATTTGTCCTTCCAGATTCACCTTAACTTCACCTTACCTAATTTGTTTTATTTGAAGAAAAAACGAAAAAAAACAGGTATATTTGAACCGAGCCACCGGGCTGAACCAACCAAAGTTCTAGATCAAATTTTAGCCTCACAACTTTTTTGTTTATAATTTAAATTCAACTTATTTATTTTTTTTTATTATTTTCTTATTTTTTTTTACATTTCTTATCCTAAGGATGGACGTAGGAATATGTTACGGTAGGTCAATCAATAACTTTTTTTACCTAAATCCAAACCAATAGGTTCAGTTTATTAATTTTCCCTAGGTTTCCGAGTTTTGGGGTTCAGATTCGGTTTTATGATGTAAAGCAAAAGCAAACCTGAAACTATTTTTTTAAACCACCTCAAATCCTTATATTATATAAAGCTGAAGATGGCTAATGTTTTGATCCCACAAATGATGTGGGACTCGAAGTTATAGTTTTAATAAAGAATGATGATGGTTGATGTTTATATAGTAGAGGCACGTACATCCCGTTATTTTAATGTTTAATACGAAAAATAAAAATGAACCCTTTTATATATATATATATATATATATATATATATATATATATATATATATATATATATATATATATATATATATATATATATATATATATATATATATATGTTCAGGTTCATTTGAGACTATTTTATTTTTGTGAGACCGTGAGACAAAATCTAAAAATAATTTTAAAATACAAAATAAATGGAAAAATCAAAAAAAAAAATTAAATTTTATTTTCGGAACTTGAATTAACTAAAAAAAAAAGAAAAAATAAATAAATAAATTCCGTTTTTTTTGAAAAATAAGTGAAATATGACATATTCTAAAAAATAATTTTAAAATGCAGAATAAATGGAAAAATCTAAAAAAAAAATTTTAATATTATTTTCGGAACTTGAAATAACTAAAAAAAATAAAAATAAAAATAAAAATAAAAATAAATTCTATTTTTTTTGAAAAATACGTGAAATATTGTAATAGAATATTGCACTGATATATTCTAAAAAATAATTTTAAAAATAAATGGAAAAATCCAAAAATTCTTTTTTTAAATATTATTTTCGGAACTTGAATTAATTAAAAAAAATAAAAATAAATAAATGCATCTCACGATAAGTTCCCTTTCCAAAAAAATTAGACCGTCTCACATGAATCTAACAGTGTATATATATATATATATATATATATATATATATATATATATATATATATATATATATATATATATATATATATATATATATATATATATATATATATCGACACACAAAGTTAATTAATACTATGATAAATCATTAAATGCTATAAAAACAACTAAAACAAAAAAAAATGATAATATGATATATAATCTTACATAGTTACATAAAATATATGTCTCTTTTAGCATTTTTGGAAGACTCGGATATGGGATCGTAACAGGACTTGCACAACACTCGACTACTTGAGTATTTTTATTTATTAAGTGAAATTAAAAGTGAAATATGAAACATTGAAACTTACAGAAAAAGATAGGAATCGAGTTACCAGAAGAAAAAAAAAAGTAGTTTGTATTTGTAAATTGCCAGGAAAAAAAACTGAAATTGTGTTTCTATGTGTGAATTGCCTTTGCAACTTGCCGACAAAGGTCAATAATAATAATAATAATAATAATAATAATAATAATAATAATAATAATAAATAAATAAATAAATAAATAAGAACTTAGTTTGATAATTCCAAACTCTTGAATTGGGTTAGAGAAATGGGAGAAAAAACGTAATGGAACGACGTTATGAATTAGTTAATGGGAGAGTTCACAAAGAAATATAATGTGAAACTCATTTTATATATATATATATATATATATATATATATATATATATATATATATATATATATATATATATATATATATATATATATATATATATATATGAAAAATGAATATACCCTTAAGTATATAAACTTTCGTACTCAAACCCATTATAACACGTCATTTTGTTTTATATTATAATTAAACTTCAACCCTAATTTGATTTACTTTCAAAATTTTCAAAATTTCATTATTATCTTCCTCTTACAACATATATATATATATATATATATATATATATATATATATATATATATATTAAATCACAAGACCTTATGAATAGTAAAGTTTATAACTTTAGGTTTTGGCCACAAAACTTTATATACTTTAGGTTTTTGCCACAATAAGTTTGGAAGGTTGATAATTTTGATCCTTAGATTGTTTTGATTTTGCAGTTTTGGCCATAGTAAACCTTATAACTTTAGGTTTTGGAAACAAAACTTTATATACTTTAGGTTTTGGCCACAATAAGTTCAGGAGGTTAACAATTTTGATTCTTAGATTGCTTTGTTTTTTTTGTAGTTTTGGCCACAATAAGTTTGAGAGGTTGATAGTTTTTGTCATTGGATTGCTACGGCCTTAATATTTACATAAGCAATCCTTGCTATAAAATTATGTTTACATAAAATGGTCCCTATAATTTACAGAAGTGATCCATATATTGATAAAAAATTACAGAAATAGTCGCTTTAGGATTTACAATTTCAATACATAACTTTTAAAGTTTGTCGATTTTCCCATATTACTCCAAAAGTGGTGTAGCCATGCTTTTTTACTAGTTGGTAAAAAGGCAAAGTATATGAAATGACTGTCAAAATAAAATAAAGGATAACAAATGAAATGAAGTGGTTGCTAAAAGAAAATGAACAAAGGAAGTGTAAAAAGCAGTATTCGAACTTGCAACCAAACTCTCATTACCCAAACGCTTTTAACATACAACTAATATTTTTGTATATAACCCATTGAACACGAAAATAGACCTGGCAATGGGGCGGATTTAGAGCGAATCGACCTTGATCCAAACCCTTTTAACAAATTTCAAAATCTGATCCAAATCCACTTCGTAACCCGTAGGATTTTGAATAATCAAATCCATACCCTTATCCACCGAATCAACGGATATCCAAACCCGCCCCATAACCCATAGGCTTTTTGAATTATCAAACACATTTTAATTAATTCATAAAACAATATTTCTTAAATAAAACAAATGTTGATTTAGAAAACACATTACACACTTGAGGACTTCCGATTGGAATTAGAAATCACTATTGTAGTAACTTCTGATTTATTTTTTACTGTCAATTGTAGTGATAGAAAATAGCAATGACAAACTTTCTTTCAGTTGATGAATGAATTTATTGATTTATAAATGAAATATGATGACTCCAAAAGTGGCGTATTCGAACTTACAAGCAAACTCTTATTACCCAAATGCTTTTAACATGCAACTAATATTTTTGTATATAACCCATTGAACACGCAAATAGACCTGGAAATGGGGCGGATTTAGAGCGAATCGACCTTGATCCAAACCCTTTTAACAAATTTCAAAATCCGATCCAAATCCGCTTCGTAACCCGCAGGGTTTTGAATAATCAAATCCATACCCTTATCCACCGAATCAACGGATATCCAAACCCGCCCCATAACCCATAGGCTTTTTGAATTATCAAACACATTTTAATTAATTCATAAAACAAGATTTCTTAAATAAAACAAATGTTGATTTAGAAAACACATTACATACTTGAGGACTTCCGATTGGAATTAAAAATCACTATTGTAGTAACTTCTGATTTATTTTTTACTGTCAATTGTAGTGATAGAAAATAGCAATGACAAACTTTCTTTCAGTTGATGAATGAATTTATTGATTTATAAATGAAATATGATGACTACTTGATGAAATATAAATGAAATGACATCATAATTCTT